TTTTATTGCAGCAAAAGACAAACCTATGAAAGTAACATGAATACTGGGCTCCACCAAAACTTGACTTGGCAGACAGTGAAATGGTTATTAAGTGATTATTTGGGGTAGAAATTAACACATAAGGACAGTTTCAAATTTGGGCTGTAAACATATCTATATCTATGTTCTACAGAGTACCTGCTTGCCATCTCATAGTCATAAAAGAGCAGGATGAAGCACTGAGCAATGGGGAGCTCCCTGAATAAAGGCTTGTCTGCAACATACCAGCAGCAAGCGAAACCGAAGTATGTTACTGCTGTCAAATAATCAGCAATTAATTTCTTGTTCCTCTATCTGAAGAACTATGTAGAGGAGTAAAAGGTTCTTGATAAGTGTGAATCCTGTACTATCTGCTATTTGCACAAATAATAACCTTCTAAAAATCTCCATGTTCATAAATCTTTCATAAAGATTAGCGAAGTGATGGATAACGTAATGATCAGCTCTATTCAAATTGAGGTTGAATTAATCAATAGCCTCACAGCCTGATTGCTGTGGGATTAATTTAGTGCACTGACATGTGATGGGCCACAGGTATGCCAGAGAGATTAGATGATGGTTTCTTGCTAACTGTCTCTATGTAGATAAGACCACTGAACTAAGTTGCCTCCTCTTTACTGCGCTCTCTGTTTATATCAAAGACAGATGAGGATTGGATCTGTTTAATTCTAGATAATTTGGCTTTCAAGTTTAAAATAAAGAAATCTTTCCAATTATGCAAAATAGCCAGTAGATAGCACAATGTCCACAAGATATTCATGTCCCTTTGGGGATTTATGAAGCACAAGTAAAAGACAGGAATGTCTAACCTGTATAATCTTTATTATCACAGGAAAAGAAAAACAATCTGAGGCAGTGAAAAAGTCCTGTTTTAATGTTTCCAGCATATGAGTTTTCAAAAAAGTTCAACTAAAACTGTGTAAGAAGAACAACCAAGTGAACAGTCTATGTTTAAAACCAGAAATAACAATTTTTGCTGGTCTGGAATAAAAATTCCCTACCCCAGTAGCTGGGTTCTTTAAGGAATGGCACGAGGAAGGTCCAGCCCACAGGTTACAAACACTTCAAGCTTCTAATTCTAGGGAAAAACTTTCTTTGCATTAGAACATAATTCAAACATATATTACAGGGTTTTTTTTTCATATCAGTAGAGAAGAAATCATGTATGACTCCTCTATACAGAAGCCAAGGGCTGTTACTATGTTTCAGTATTTCAAATCAATTTCTGAAAGTAGTTTTAAATTCTTTTAAGTCTAACCTTTCCTATTTAAGCTATCATTCTGCTCTAAACTAGTAAGAAAAAGATTAAATTCTGTAATGTGCCTACAGCCAAATAACACATAATAACAAATAAATATACACAAATAAAACTAGAACTGACAAGTCATTTGTAAGTGTCTGGAGAGGTAGCTGTGACTCAAAAGAAGAAAATGAAATGCAGCTGGGAAAATCAAATTGCTTCTTTTGCCGGAAAATTAACCAACTTTTCAGGAAAATAAGTAATTTAATATACATATTTACCAAAGAATGTCTATTTTTAACAACATTATTTGGTTTTAAAGGCTTATTTGAGAACAGGTAGAAGATGAATAAAATAGAAGAGTAGACAGAAGGGACACGTGAAAACAAGAGATAAAAGAGGCATGAGGAAATACAGAATATAAAAGACAACACCAATAACTCATGGAATAGAATAGTTCAGTTGGAAGGTACCTAACAATGATCATCTAGTCCAAATGCAATGTTATTATTATTCTGCATTAGTCTGCACAATGCATCATCTAAGAACATATAATAAAGAAAGAATTTCACTAAAAGTGGCCTTTCCAGAGTACCTAAACTTTCAATGATAACTTGTTAAATTGGAGTTCTTGAAAGAAGAGAAACCCCCATACTGATAGTTTACTTACATTGTCAGGGTTTTTATTTTTATTTCCCTCTGTCCTTTCTGCCTGAGGTGAATGCTGGAGAGCATTCTCTCCTCCAAGAGAGCTCTCTTCACTGTGCTCCCATCACTCCAGTTCGTGGGACAGCACAGTACAAGCCTCAGATAAACTGGCATTTAGGAACAAAACTGCACTTGCATCCTGGACAGCAATTCACTCTGCCCTTTGCCCTCTGCAGTCTGACACTGTAGGTGCCAAAACTCACTAGGCATCCATCAATTTAGGTCAAACATATCCCACATGCTTAAATCCAGTTCAACTCAGAAATGACTGTTCTTGATGACAGGTAATTTCTCTCTACCTACTTCTCTGTTGCAACTCAAGTTCAGGCAAGCAAATTTTGCCCAAGCCCTGCAAAGGTGGCAGCACTGGAAGATGCAGGAAGGGGACCAGACAGGGCTCACACACATACCCAGTATGCTGGCAACAAGAGACCTGTTTAGACCACTGAAGCCAGCTTGCCTAAATCACACTGCAGGAAAGAACTACACTCCTGGAGACAACCAGGTAGGTATTCGCCCATATACACTACCCTTGCTCAAACCAAGTGTGATCTCCACATAACACTGTCTGGATGACCTACAGTAATTTTTTAATTTGATATTTGAAGTGCTGTTAAAAGTGATGTCTGTTTTCAAAGAATGTATGTATGTATCTTCACTGATTTGAGTGGGAAGCCATCAAGCATATATATTGCATTCTTCACATTAAATATCTGCAAGACATTCTTGGTGACTCCCCTTTAAAAAGCTGACTTTGTTTGAACCTTTTAATACCTTTTCTTCTAACAATATTGAACTATTTCTAGCGTGCTAGATTTTTCATTTGACACATAGAACAAGTGTGTCTAATTCTGAAAGACATCTACTGCTGTGCTGCTAAAAGATATAATGCACGATGTTCTTGCAGGAGAGATAATTATTTACACTTGAGGTATACAATACATACTACAACACTTTGGTGAACAGAACTTTATACCAATACAAGACAACCCATATGGTTTCATTTCTGTTTGAGAATCCGCAACTAGTCAGTAAGTCTACTCACTCCCCTCCTGAGCCAAATGCTCTCGTATTAAATGACTGTACCTTTCATGCAGATAGTTGACTCCAAGTAGCAACTGTATAAACCATTCTATTACTTGACTTCGAGTGAACATCTTCCCAGAATCTTTGTACTCTTGAATTTTCAAGTCTAGATCTCCACCCTGAAAAATATCACAACATATTTGAGTTTAAAGTAAGTTTGCAAAATGCCATCTCCTTCACCGAAGTACAGGCATCCTATTGTGTAATCTGTAAAACAAATGCATGCATGTGAATTCTGAACTCTCCCAGCACCAAAAGCAAACACAACTGTGGATCAAAATGCAATCAAGCATTCTAGCTGCATAAGGAAAGTAGGTCAGTTTTGTCTTCATGTTACACAATATCATTGAAGTTTTCAACTGTTCTTACTTCACGTTACCCAACTTTAGGTATGTGCATCTGAGCTGGTTACCTTAAACCACCTTTACAGTTAACACAAAGGAACACATATCAGTATAGTGCAAATATTTCTGCTACCTAGTTGTTTACCTTAGGAAGGGTTGAATCAGGATGTAGAAATGCTGTTTCTCTGCAAAGATTTATAATGAGGGCTGACATAGACTAGGTAATTTATAGACACCTAAATAAGTAAAATCAATCTGCCCTGATCAGTCTAAATAAGTTAATAAATTTGAGAAAAGCATTTCCACTTCAGTCAAACATTGCACAGTCAAGAGACACTCTCATCTATTATGTTGAAATAACCATGTCAGCATCAAAGAAACCATGTTGCTCTCTTAAGGATTAAAATACAGTCTCTTTAATTATGATCCTTTGCCCCTCTTTCAAACTCACTTTTGCCAGAAACAAAGCAGATTTAAAGCTTCAAGAATATGTTGCATGTGTCATTGTATATACTTTGTTAAAACTACAACTGATCTTGAAGTAACACTAGCAATGGAACAATATGACACACAGTGGGGAGTGACAACAAACCAGAAAACATATCCACAAAAGGACTACTTGAAAACTGTAAGCCAGATATTTGGAAAAGTCAGTTGTACAACATCATGATGAGGATTTTGAGGAGACTTACATGAAAATTGTTCTTTTTACTAAAAAATAGACAGATGGTTGTCAGCTGGTTGTTTACCCAGTTTATAAAACAAATGGATTTTGTCTAGAAGAATGCACGCACATTAGTGGTAAGCAATGTGTTGAGGTAACTAACCCCAGAGCAAAGGGACTGTGAGTCTCATTATATTCTAATGGCTAATTACATCAGGACAGCTTATTTGCCATAAATCGGTCTCATTATATTCTAATGGCTAATTACCTCACATCAGGACAGCTTATTCGCCATAAATCATTACTTTTACCTTATACATTCTGCAAAAACTCAGTTTTATGTTCCATATCAAGAAAATAGTTTAGCCTGTACCAACATTGCCATTTCCCATCATCAACCCTCTGCTCCTCTGCATTGTTGACTCTCAACATTTTGATTTCTTCAGCTTTTCTTGCTTTTCTGTTCCCAATACCATAGTGATTGATACTGCTGCTACAAAACAAGCAGGTTCTGTCCTTGCAGATCCATACATTTCTGTCCTGTGCCTTTGACATGAATTTACAGTAATTTCTATGGCCCCTGAGGTTCTAAGTTAGAACATTCAATAGTGAGTCTGTTAAAAAAGAGCAAATCTGTTTTGTCATATATCAACAATGTGTTCCTGACAATGTCCTGCATTTTTTTTTAACTGAGATGTCTGAATCATCTCATTCACTAGGGAAAGGAATATAGCTTCAGCTCTCCATCTGCCTCACTGCTGCAGCCCAGAGAGAAGCTCTTCTGGGAACCTGGAGCTCTCAGCAGCTGCTTCCCCTTTGCAACTCCAAATGTTCAACAGCTTCCCCCTGGTTGCTTGCAGCAGAGCAGAGGAAGGACAGAAAAACTTTTGCTGGGTACTCCACTGCATGCCAACCAGAGCAGAGGAAGGACAGAAAAACTTTTGTTGGGTACTCCACTGCATGCCAACTGGATGGGCTGTGCCTGAGCCTGTTCATGAACCCTAAAAACAATGACTCACCTACTCCAGACAGCTGTCCCAAACCATTCAGAGACAACTGTAACAGCCCGAGACTGAGGGGATGCTCAAACATGTGTCAGCTGGCTACTGGCCACAAGGGACTATGTACCATCCAGGTGAGGATAGATGAAGTGCAGCAGGTTCCAGTCACTGCTTCTCCCTGTCCCAATGTGTCCCCTCTCACAATAGCTCATTGCCATGAAAAATGCAAAGAAAGTAAGTGCAGGACCTACAGAGTCAGAGTAGTGAACAGTCTTAAGTTGAGGGACACTTCCTTCAAAAGGTCTAAGGAGAACAAAAGCAGTTGAATAAAGCACTATATATGCCCTCACATAACTGTATGCTTTTTCACCTCCAAGCAGAGAAGACTGGTCTCAATGTCCTACAATTAATTTAACTTTGATTTTGTGTCTAAAAAGGAAAACAAAAACACATTACGAAAGATCTGCTAAAATACTGCTGCTATGACACTCTGAAAGAATTTGCTAGTACCATTTTGCATTTTGGAAGGTCAGTATAATGAAGCTCATAAGGAATTCAGCAATTTAGCAAATGAAGTACACAGGGAATTTCCAAGCTGCAGCTTCTATTTAAATATCAAGAGTACCAAACACACCAGTAACTTATTTAAAACAGCTTAGCATCTAGAGCTGATAACGTGAACAGGCATTGATTGCTTTAGTTATTCCTTTCGCTCAGATTTCCTTGGCATATGTGTACTCACATCACAGCTGAGACCATAGTGAACAGACAGAAATAATTGTCTGGGGGAAAGTACAACTAGTTCTGGCTTTTGATATATTAAAATGGTACAACTTTTAAAGTAACTACTTTGTAAAACCTGTATTTTAGTGAAGTCCAATTCATACTACAAAATTAGATCCAAGGCTCATTGAGGTAGTTTTGTTTGAAATCTGAGTCAGCTGAGAATGTTTATATTGCCCGTAAGGTTCTGATTTGGGAAAACTGTAAAAGAAGCTCAAAAAGAAGACCGAAACAGACGACATATACTTCCTTTCTATAATTTTGAGTGAATTCAGTCATAATAAAAGATGTCAAGCTGAGCAGTGTTTTCACAGGTCAAGTATAGCATAGGGCCCCTGCAATGTAGGCCCACTCTATGCTACTCATGCAAGAATGAACAAAGTACTGTGGCTAATGAATAAGTCACGGTACTTTGGAGAAAACAGAATAAGGCTCAGAGGGTAGTTCCGTTTCCATGCCAACTTAATGTTTGTTCTTTGTTTTGAGTCTGCCCAAGAGTACCAATTACTGTTAATCTGGTAATTGTTCTATGCATGAGAAACTGAATATACTAGACTTTCAAACAAGGATCAGGTAGCAATATGTTTTTCTCATTCTCAATTTATGCATGATTTAAACAGACTCCTTTTAGGTCAAAAGACCCAAATCCCACCACATACAAAGGCAGGCTATAGATAAGTAAATACAAAAGTATACCTTCTGGAAATATTTCCACTAAAATAGAAAAGAAACTTCATAGCACTATGTGCAACTTTGTTTTGTACTTTCCTTGTCTGAACATCTGATGAAATATATCGTAATTGCCTAAATGCAATGATACTACATAATGTGTCCTTTCAGAAAGTCAGAAGCACATGCTAGTGGGCCAAGTATCATTCTGACCTGACATAGTAGACTCAAAACTGAAGAAATTCAGTGCATAGCCAGTGCCTCCATTTCCTTCTCCTTCATTTGCCTTACTCTTCTAATACATTCTCTTGTGTTTGAGTATATGACTCCCAGATCCTATGATAACGCTGCACCAAAGCATTTTCATGCAGGGTAGTTTACACTGCCTGAATAAAAAGAAACCCCAAACCTCCAAGGGGTGATGCAGCAGCTTGTAATTACTGTGGTGATTGCTATCATGCCTTTTTTTATTCACCTATAACTTTATTCCAGATGAACAAAAAAAATAGAGAAAAAAAGCACTGGACAAAAGCCACTATAATGGATTAACTCCGGCGAAAGGCAGTGAGGCCCATAAAAGGTCTAGAAAACAGGTTGTATGAGGAATGGCTTAGGGAGTTAGGTTTGTTCAGCCTTGAGGAGAGGTGGCTCAGGAGTGACCTCATTGCTCTCTACAGCTACTTGAAAGGGAGTCCCGAAATGGTCATAAGCTGAGACAGGGGAGATTCAGATTAGATGTTAGGGAAAAAATTTTCAATCTTAGGGTGTTCAGGCACTGGAATAGGTTACCCAGGGAGGTGGTGGGGTCAACATCCCTGGAAGTGTTTAAAAGGTGTCTGGATCTGGTGCTGGAAGATAGGGTTTAGGGTTTAGGGGTTACAGCAGAGTGGCAGGTTAATGGCTGGCCTCAGTGATCTTACAGAGGTCTCCTCCAGCCTTGATGATTCTATGGCAATGCTGCTGAAATAGGCTTTATTCCAACATGTTTAACTGATTAGGTGTTGGGCCACTTTGTACTGATAGTAGAGACAAAATTAATCTTAGTGTGGAAATAGCTGGACAGTTAGAATAATTCTTAGGCTCTGAGCCTGGATTTCCTGAAAGACTTGGCAATATTCTCAAACCCCAACTGTCAGACATTCAGAGAATGACACAGAGAGCTTCTGCATGGGTGTTAAAATAACGTGTGAACAAATATTCAGATTGTATCACAGAATTGAACATTTCAGATTTAAATTTTAAAACCCCCAGCAATAAATAGGCATTTAAATGTCATCAAAGAAAGCTCCTAAGGAAGAAATAACTGTCAGGAAGGATGCTGCTTTAATTATTCCCACCAAAGCCAAATTCTTGAAGAAATGTGATTAGTTAAGTCAAGTCTGATTTGTAGAAAGGTAATCCAGTAGTCTAAGATCCTTAGCTTCCAAAGCATTTCAGCATGTCTAGAAGAGCAGAACTGAAGATTTAGCTTCACAGTTTCATTAAAGATCACTTTATGTATGACAGATTTATTTTTTTTAAAGATCACATCTATATTTAATACAAAGTAGGCACTTGTTTTATATAAACTCCTAAAAAGCTGGTTTAAATATGTTTAAATTCTTATTTTAAAGCCTTAAGACAGATTTCAGCAATATGTTTTTAAATCAAATGCTGGCGTCAAAAAATCAATAGTAACTATACTGCAGTACATGCTAGTGAATATTCGCTGTATCCGTTACACTCTGGTCTTTGACCCACACTATTTTCATTTCATAAAGTTACCAAAATCATTATACATGTGATCAAGCTTCAGTTTCTTGTAATCACTTCCAAATCACAAGTGAATTTTCCCTTCCTTGTTTATATTATATTTCATACCATGCCCCTGTATTCCCAATCTCATCCTCTCTTACCTATCACGACTACACATGTGGTCCAACCTTTCTGAGTTCCCCCACAAACCTGCCAATGTGTCTGCATTTAAGTTTTCTCATAATACTGATTATAACACTCAAAACATACTTAAAATTACCTATTTCCCCTTCTCTGGTTCGTCAGTCTATGAACTATGAGTCTCACGTGAGTAGGTAACATTGCTTGTCTGAAATGTGCCTAAGAAGCAGCAGGTGATACCACAAGCAAAATGAAAGAGCAAAATTCAAACTAAAGCATTTAAAAAATGGGTTAGGCTTCTTTTAAAATCCTATTTTAATATACGTATTCTGTCAAACTGCTTGAAAGTAATCTAGAAGTCTCACCTCACAATATTCAGTGATAATGCAGAAACTGTCTTGCTCCACAAAGCTTGCATAAAATTTGACAATGGCTGGATGGTCTAATTTGGAGAGTAGTTGTGCTTCCAGATTTGCTTCAACTGTTTCGTTAGGCTTTAGGTTTCCAAGAGAGATTTCCTTTAGGACCTTTCTAAAGGAAAAAAAAATTCTTTATATTAATAAAACCAGGAAAATATGAAGTCATGTAATGCACAAAATCCCATCATAATTTCTTTGAATGCAAAATAATAACATTAGCCAAGTATTTGGCAACATGAAATGATGAGGCAAATATGGGTAAACAAAGAGAATGCACTAAAAATCAAATAAATATGCAACATTTTCAAAATACTGTTTTGAAATATTTCTCCCACTAATTCCCTACTGCACAGTTTTCTTTATGACATGTTTTCAGTGCTATGGATTTCTGCATAATAATCAACATAAATAAAAACCCCAAATCTAAGTGATTTTAAACCCCCTCAGAGCATATGCTGAAGATTCATATATGAAATAAGGAGTATCAAGAAACTGTTTTTGCAGCTTCTGCTGAAGTCTCTCCATGGAGGCACAAGAAAAATCATACAGAGCAGTATTTCTGTGACTGTTTTTCCAGCGATAAACTCAGGGTGCCAATGTTTTTTCTAAAAACCAGCCAGTCCTTCAGCTGAACACTTAAATAAAAATTGCAAATCTGGATTTGTGACTGAAACCTAATTCTACAGTTTCAGTGAACTCTACCTTTTCAGTGATTAATGCTTGTTTAGGGAGGCTCTGAATCCCCTGAAAAAGGCTGAAAAAATGTTGAGATTTTTATATCCTTCAACATTAACATATGAATATGCTATAGGAAAATTTGTAATTCAGACTTAGCTCTATACAGGACCTGGAGTAGGGCAATTTACTGTCAGCTTGACCTGGAGAAAAACACTTAGTGCAGGGCAGTCTGAGAAAACATGTTTTGCTGAGATCTTCCTGATGAAAATTGGAGACTATTACAGACTATCATGTTTTTTTCCTGAAACAAAGCAATGAATTTCCAATAACTTTTGCATGCTTGAAAGGTAAGTTTCAGACTGAAGGGAAGTTCTCACAGTGCTTTTAGTAATTTCCCCATTCAATACTGCATGGTTATAAAGTCACGGTACTTAAACATGACAGTGATGAAATGCCAGTAAATCACTTGATCTGTGGGAAAAAGGCTGTATTTCTTTAAAAGAAAATTTCTTCTTAAATCTGAACAATCAGTTTCTGACTAACAATGCATGAATTTTAACATAAGCTTGCCTAATCCCCATCTTGAAGTGTGATGAAAAAAACATGCCCTTTGATTTGTCTGCATCTCTACAGACAAGCTTCATACTACACGGACAGGCAATATCTACTGCAATCTTCTCATCTTCAGCTGACACGGGGACATTACTCCTCCCTTCATATAAATCGTGTCACAGAACTGACAAACTGAACGAGTCCTTGTTAAACACCACTTAATACGAGTTTCTCATATCCCCAAGACAGCAATAAAAGCCTGATGTGTTGATGTGTAGGGATAGCTTGCCATCTTAGTCACTCAGTGATTTTGATGCTGTCATCAGCTGTCAGACAAGATGACAGGTGTTTTTCTTATTTGAATTAATTCCCAGAAGAAGAAATCATGAAAATACACTTTTTGTAAATAAGGTATTGGTTTTCTGCTATGCAGTGTTAATTCACAGTTGGAAGACGTTGCCATCTAGAAAGAAAACTTCTTAAGCATATCTCCTTGCCAAAGCTTTATGTTATGTGTGTATACTGTTTCTGCATGTAGGTAAAGTTGATTTGACTGCATTTAAAATGAAGAACATGACTAGACTTCATACTTTCCGCAAAGCCTTTGATAATGTTAGTAAATTCACTTAAAATTTAAAATACATACTTTAAAACTCTCTATTGATTAAATAATGACAAAGAAGTTATGTCGAAGTCTCAGAAGTCTCACAGAGAAAACAGAGAAGTCTCTCTCTAAAGTGGCTCTTTTCTGATAACTTTAGAAGAAACACAAGGAAGAAACAGAAGTCTTCAGTCAGAAATTAAGCAACAATAAATTAACTATACTTTTCAATACACAAAACACCTCAAAAGTGCTTAAATTCAGTCTATCCCATTTCAGTATTTACACAAGTAGCTTCTACCTGAACAGGCAGCTCAGATGGGCACATTCTGTGATTTACAGGACTCCTAAGATAACTCAAATTTGGCAACTGTGGTGATGCCCAGTAGGTTCATAGATCCAAAAGAAAAGGTTAGTAGTCATAAGAAAACAACACATTTTTCTTGGCTGAACAATCCCAACTGCTTTTCCACTCTACCAAGAGAATCCAGCTCTATATTTTGAAGGAGACAAAGTGTTTCTCTTTGTATGATCCAACCTGCATTTCAAGGTTGGCTTATAATAAAGAGTAACCTATCATTGGCACAGTACTTGTGTATCATCTGCTGAAAATCTCCCTGCATTGTGCTACTGAACTATTTTTTGTAAACAGTTCAAACTATTTTAAACAAACCTTTTGAAAAATGTCACATGTGTGTTTATTGTGGATATTGGAAATAATAGACTCTCTTGCTAAGATTTTGTCAAGATTCCATCTTGAGAGTACTAGTCCATCTGAAAGTAAAGTTTTTCTCAAAAAATCTGCCCCTGTACTTTCTATCACTTAGGTTTAAATATTTAGTAAGATTTCAAAGATCTAAAACTATTTGCATGATCTAGGAAATCTTAGACTTATTGCACAAACTCAGAAAATACAGATTTAGGTGGCATATACAGAAAAAAAACAGGTATAACCACTCAAATGTGAATGGCCTTCAAATATAATACTTAACTACCCCTTTAGATACAATGCAGAAATAGAGATGCCAATTTAAATTAATGTATTTATTATTATAAAATTGACTTAATGTAGAATACAGACACATAAGCAGATAATAAAATAATTTAGGTTGGAAATGTCCTTTAAAATTGTCGAGTCCAAACCAGAAACCTAACACTGCCATGTCCACCACTAAACCATATCTCTAAAGAAGAGCTAAAATGTCAGTTAATACAAAATAGAAAACTTTATTACAGAAGTGCTAATAGTTATCTTAAATACAGAACAATAGCCTCCAGAATTTCACTGTGTGGAAAAAAACCTTAGCCTTACAATTCAATAACACAAAGACACTGAACTTTATCTTGAACTGGCCACAACTGAAAGAGTCTTGTAGTGAAAGTATTCACATCCTAAGAGTAAAAAAACCCAACTGTCATTTATGTACATCCATCCTGGAGGAAGCTGGGACTGGTATAGGTAACAACATCCATCCCTTCTGGGTGGAAAAGTAATATGAGAGACAAGCCCACTTCCCAAAACACAGAAGGAGTCCCCTGCCTCTGCAGAGCCCATGCCTCAGCAGGCTCACACACCTTCCCTGGGAACACCTTCTGACTTTCATCAGCAAAACCCTGCTGGCTTGTATTGTCATGCTTTCAAATTCCACCAAGCCAGCACACTGGGTCTGAAAGTGCAATAACATGGAGCAAATGGGGATAAAGAGAGCAAGACCTAAAGCAAGAGAAAAGCAAACATAAAGGTGGAATCCTCCAGAATATGGACATGCAGTGGGAATCCCTTTTTGAGCTCTACCAGTGACTGACAATATGCCACAGCAGTGTTTATCTCAGTCTATCTGCACTGATCCAAAATTAAATGTTTTACAACCCATCTGGTATTTGTTTACATCAATGACACACTTTATTATTATATAATTTGGTTTATTGGATCAGATGCAATTCTTAAAAGAATCTCTTTCTCAAAACGCACTCCGTTTATTGAGTGAACTGCAACATGAATTATTGACTAGGTACATTGCCTTGCTGATAAAGAAATAAAAGAAATAAAACTGTTTTAATATCAAGAATAAATAGATCTGATAAAATCCCATGGAGGAGGTGTGATCTAGGAACAGATGAACAGAATTTGAAGGTTTTAATTAAACAGAAACTCCATTTTACACAGGCAGTTGTTCAGCTAATTTCAGCTAATGACAATTTCATTTAGTTTTTATTTCTGAATTGTCAGTATGGAGAGTTGCAGCATAACCCATAACTTTGTACTGCATTTCTATCCATGCTGACCTTTGCAGGACTGCCTCTTCACCCCTCAGCACAAGGACCAGGGGCAATTCTGAAAAACTGCATCGCCTCTTAATGGATCTGTAATTGGACCTGAAATTGGTCACAGACAATAAAACTGAAGGAGTCCCTGTCTCATTAATTATGTTTTCAATCCTACTTAGTAAATGGCAAAAGGAGAAGGTACAGCACTACAAAATAGGACCAAAATGAAGAAGAGGTGACAACCTTCACACACAAGTACGGTCTGCCCAACAGCTTCCACAGTACTGAAACTCTCTGGGAATCCTGGTAACACAGACACCATGTGCATACAGACAAGATGAAGTCACCCATCATTACTGCTTTTCATGATTACTTGCTTTCTAGAATGTCACACAGTTGATGATATTTGCATGTTACAGCCAATACTGTCATTCTAAAATAATAACTTTAGATTTCTGTTGATAACTTTCACTGAAAGTATTCTATTTCTGGAATCTATTTTTTGAGCCATAGCCCTGCCTATCCCCAACTTAAATTATCCTTTCTGCACAGTTTACATCTTGATACTATAGATTCCCATTGATTTGACATTCCACTGGGCACATGGGATATAGAGAGAAATGAAAAAATAAAATGTAAATGCTCTCACATGTTTCAACTCTAAATCAAATGCTAATAGACTATGATTGAACTGAAGAAATTTGTCTCTAAATAGGGAAATTATATTTAAAAATATGGAGTACTGGCTAAATACCTGTGAATGTACTTATTTTTAGCAATACTTTATTGTTGCATGTTGCATTATCACCATCTACTGTTCATTCAACCTTTTTTTCTACAGCCTAGTCTTGTTTAAGGATGTAATTAAGCATTATGGTGCCACTAATCTAAATGGAAGTTTAGAGAGAAATGTGACAAGGACTAAATAATTTGTTTGTGCTCTGTATTTTTGCAGACTTCCATCAAACACCAAATCATCTAGACGAGACATTTCTCCATTGCGATTTCATTAC